GTATGTAATACAAAAATTATAAATACTTTTGTATTAATAAAAGCATTAAAACTCTTTCGTTTTCATAAAATATCTTTGGTAAAGGATAAGTGTAGAAATTCTATTTTGGGACTTCAAGGTTGAAAACATACCAATGAATAATAATTAGATTTATATTTCAAAAGAGAAGTTATTTTAAGATCTTTCCCTTCCATATAAGGAAGGATTAAACGATTTTCTATGAGTAATAAATAATTTTGATGAGGCGTAAGAATACACAGAAAAGGCAATATGACTGGCCTCTTCACATAGTTTAATTATCGTATAAAACAGAGGAGCAATGATTTTTGCGTGCTTTTTGGTGTATAATGTTTAGCAACTAAACTCCGTCGGATCTGACTGAAACTCTTTCTCTCCCTCTCCGGCTGGAGAGGGATGAAACTGCTATTTCACCATCGTTATTAAAATAAAAGATTATGCCGAAACTGAACTCGTTAATCATGCTGTTTTGACTTCTAATTAACCAAAAAATATCGGTGTGGATCCACCGTTATTTCATATATATATATATATAAAGTACCCTTCCAAATTATTAGGGACACTTAAAATTTCTAAAAAATTGTCATTTTTCAAAGTATCATCACTTTTCAAAAATAAGTCAATTTTCATAAAAATTTCAGGATATCATGTTCAGGTCTTCTACTTTCACCTAAAAATTACTAATTTAATTTATCTCAATTTTTTGCAAATATTTGCACATTTGAACAAAGCAATTTTTTTAAAAAGAAAATGTCAAGTCTGACAAGTTGCTACTTTGTAACAAAATTTTTTGCATAAAAATTATTATTTACACATTAAAGTACAAGTCATTAACTTTAAAATGAGGTAAAGTAAATGACTTTACGATTTTTATTGACCGAGATATGAGATTTTGAAACTTTTTTGTCATTTGTAGTGAAAACGAAATTATTGTGAATTCGAATATTATTTAGTATTTATTCATCAGCTTAAGGAGATCAACCTACTGACTATTTTCTGTTGAAAATTTATTAGCTATTAATTATTTATTTGTTACGTAAGGTTCGCATAAGTTTATATTTATCACAGTTGAGAAAAGTTTAACGTTTGTATTAAAATAGGTGACAACAGATTTGATACGTAAATAGAACGCTTCGCTTTGATATATTTGTCACTGTTTATTATTATTGCTTATTAAAATACTTTTTTATGATATCTTCTGGCTACTTGATTATAATTAATTTAAACTAAATCCCTTGTTCTTTAACCTTACCTTATATGGCGTAGTCGGCTTTTTAAAAAAAAAGAACATTTCAATTTCTTTATCTTTAAACATCGCTATTCTATCGCTACATTTAAAAATTCTTCTCAGGAAATTTTGACTGCTGAATAAACAAAAACGAATTCATCTTTGGCTACAACTCATCCAGGTAATCCTATTTTATCAACAAAAAAAATAACATTCCACGAAATAAAATTATATACATTGAATAAAATTATATCCATTGAAAAACTGATTTCTACTCGCCAAACTTCTCGGTAACAAACGCCGCCAAAACAGATTCCTCTCGCTGCACTTTTCTTCGCCAAGATGTTATCAACTAATGTCCTTTAATTTTGATTATTATGGGTAAAAAAAAAGACTTAACTGCAGAAAAGATAATAGAAATAAAAAGCCTTTTACTTCACACTGAAAACTCACATAGAGAAATAGCGCGTTTGACAGAAACAAGTAAAAGCAGTGTCAATCGGATCTCTATTTATATTAAAAAGACAAGCACTTTTAAACACAGCAGAACAAGGCGATGTGGTCATAAAAGAATTACAAATTCACGAACTGATCGTAAAGTTCGTGAAATTTGCTTAAACAATAGAAAAAGAAGCCTTTTTTTTCATTCAAAATGAAGTCGTAAAAGATGGAATTTCTTTATCTAAAAGAACGCCTTAAAGAAGCAACACTAACTGGTCCTCGGCCAGTCAAGAAACCACGATTAACTGCAGCGATGATTAAAAAACGATTGATGTGGGCTAAGCAACACAGGAACATGACCGTTGAGGACTGGAAAAAGGTCTGTTTTTCAGATGAATCAACTTTCGAAACTTTATCAGATAAAAGCATGTTCGTACGTAGACGACCCAAAGAGAGATTTCATCCAGATTGCATTGCGCAACGCGTCAAACATCCTGATAAAATTATGGTTTGGTCAGTTGCAGTTGGTCAATGCACTGAAGGTATTGGAGACCTGTATAGTGTCAAGGGAACAATGGACCAGCATCTATATAAACATGTTTTTCAGAGGCATTTAAAACCTCAATTACGTACGTGGTTTCTAAACGATGTAGATGTCACTTTTATGCAGGACTGTGCCCCTTGTCACAAAGCGAAAATTGTTATGAAATACCTGGACAATAAAAAAATTAATGTCCTTCCTTCGCCAGGAAATTCTCCAGATCTGAACCCTATAGAGCAGTGTTTCTCAACGGGGGCGATAACGCCCCCCTGGGGGCGTTGGGAGTATGCCGAGGGGCGGTGGACTTGTTTTGGGCGGCAGGGGGGCGTTAGGTATGTTTTGGGCGGTAGGGGGGCGATGAGCAGGTTATGTTATTCAAATTTAATTTTAATGCTCCCAAATAAAATTATTAAATTAAGAATCATTTAGCAAATAAAATTAATCTAAAATTAATGATAAAGAAAAAAAAAGATTAAATTAATATAAATTTAGATTATCTGATACAGCATTAGTACCAGCAGTAAAACGAACTTGTGCAACACATATTCTCCGATCCGATATCACCACAGCACAGCGCATGAGTCAATAGTTTTTGCCTCTGACATTCAAGCCATTTGGGGAGAATTAAAATGCAGGCACTTTTTGTTAAAATGTTCGATTTGAGCCGTGCTTCTTATGATGGTTTAGTTTGCTTCCTAGCAGTTTTTTACCCAGTGTCGATTCGATTTCATTGTTTATTTGGTCAGGTACGTTTGTGAATTAGTTCTTAATCGTAAATTATGTATTAGTTTGATAAAACAGTACATACAGTACTTGAAGTTTAGATTTGCTCAATCGCTGTCGAACTCTCAACTACCCATGAATTTATTTTATAACAAAGTTTAATATCATGAGACAATGGAGTCTCCCCGTTAGCAGAAGCATTTGCAAAATACTCATTCTCACAAACAAAATAAAGATTTGTCATTTTTCACGAACATCAAAGACAAGTTCCTGAAGGCACCTTCGGCCTCTGGCTTACTTACAACCTAATCACAAAAACGCGATGATGGTTTGATAAGTTCTTATAATATATCAAAATTAATTGCTAAATCTGGGAAATGTCATACCATCGGCAAAGAATTGATACTGCCGCTGTTAAGGAAGTTTGAGGAACAGTTTTACACTATCCAGCCTCATCTGATTTAATCAAAAATATCCCTTGCAATAGTGGGTCGACATGGTGGGTTTTTCGCCGTTTTGAAGAGGGTGGTACCAGATATTTTAGCAGTTCACTGCGTGATTCACAGACAGTATTTAGTAAGAAAAAAATCTCAGCGACCGTTTGCATCAGTCATTGCAATATGTCATATCTGCTGCGAACAAAATTCGCAGTAATGTTCTCAACAATTGATTACTCAGACAGCTGTTTAAGAAAAACTATAAAGAATATCGCTTGCTACTACACCGTGATTCGCTGGCTTTCCAAAGAAGCTTTGTCTCAATGGGTTTTTGAATCTTTTCGACTCTGTGCTTGAGTTCCTCGAAGACAGAATGTAGCTCTGAGAGACAGATTGCTAGAATTTAAGATAGACGTTGGTGGATTTATTTTCAAAATTCAATGGCGTTAATTTGCAACTTCAAGGTGACAAACTCAATTTGATCCCTACGAAATCAGTTATTTCTACATTTCTAAAAAACTTATTTTTTGGAAGCAGAAATTTGGTAGGAATGAGTTCAACCAATTTCAAATCTTATCGTATCTTGAAAAGAATGGCGAAATTTCCTCTGATGATACACAAGAATATAGTTAACACCTTGACTCTTTGCACATGGACTTTTCTGACCGTTATAAATGTGTTTTGTTCTGTTTCCTTCAATGGGTTATTAACCCTTTTTTGAATATTGAAACAGAAGAGGTTCAGATTCCGGAGGAATCGGGCAAACTTTCAACTAATGAAGCTTTGAAATGGTGATAACTCACAGAATTTTGGCTTCAAGGTAACATCAATCGCCTCTACTCTGGACTGTCAAAATTCATTCTTATTTTCAAAATTATTTTTAATTTCCTTCCCTTTCTCCTATTTCTTCGAACGGGGATTCAATGCTGTTATGGATCAAGTCACAAAAAGGAGAAATGGACTCGAAATCATGCAACGAGGGAACTTGCGTCTTCACCTCAGTAAAAATATTGAACCAAACGTTAAGAAATTGGCAATGAACCATCAAGTACAATCATTCCACTGACATAGTAACTTGATTGTTTCGTTAATACTACTTTTATTTTTGGGTGTTTTTTTTTAATTATCTAATTAAGAACAAGTGACTCTTTTTAAGCATAGTTTTCTTTGTTGAGCTTTTTTTTTTCATTACCATATTTATTTTTATTATGACAAATAGACTGCGATTACCTGCCGGGAGAAAATTATAGAGTTAGCGTAGACATTAAATTTTTCAAAAAAAAAAAAAAAAAAAAAAAAAAAAAAAAAAAAAAACATGCAAATTTAACACTTAAAAAATAGCCTAAAAATGCATCTTATAATTCAGCACCCCCGTTCTCATGCTCTAAATAACTGGATTATCACAAAGGGGGGGGGGCGTTGATATGTTTTTTACTTATTAAGGGGGCGGCAACGTTAAAAAGGTTGAGAATCTATGCTATAGAGAATTTGTGGGAAATAGTGAAGAGAAAAGTAGCTGAAGAAGTTATAACAAATAAAGATACTACACTAATATCAAGGTTGAAAAAACCTGGAATAGCCCAGACATTATTGCAAAAGCAAAAGCTTGTATTGAAAGTATGTCGCGAAAAATAAACGCAGTTATACAAGCAAAAGGACATGTTACAAAATATTGAGATTTTTTTATTACTTTTTTTTACTTGTTTTTGTAAAAAAGGTTTTGAATTTCAAAATAAAGTTAAATTTCTTAAAAATTTCCTGAGTCGTTTTTTAAAATTGTTATTGCAAATTTACAAATAATGTTCTTGTTTGTAATAATGTTTTAAATAAAAACTTAATTAATCCGAATAAGAAAGTTGCAAAAAACTAATACTAAATACCAAATAATTTTCGAATTCACAATTATTTCGTTTTCACTATAAATGACAACATTTTTTCAAAATCTCATATCTCGGTCAAAAAAAATCGTAAAGTCATCGTATCGTAATCGTAAAGTAATTTTTAGGTAAAAGTAGAAGACCTGAACATAATATCCTGAAATTTTTATGAAAATTTTTTTTGAAAAAGTTATGACGCTTTGAAAAATGAAAATTTTTTAGAAATTTTAAGTGTCCCTAATAATTCGGAAGGGTACTGTATATATATATATATTTCTCTTACACGACGACAAAGTCCCGCAGTGGACTGATCGTTAAGACACGGTTCCCAGCAGATCACCGAAATCAAGCATCACTGGCTACGGTCAGTGTGCGGGTGGGTGACCACTTGGATCAATCTGTGTTGGAACCGAGGGTGTGCGGTATTGGTCCTCGTTAAACTGTTCCACCGTAAAGTGCTCGACTTCGCGTGCAGGTCGTCGGGCTACCGAAGCGGGGGAGCCATCCCCTCCGCAGAGGATCAAAATTGTGATGGCATGTCTTCGGATCATCCTCCGGGATGTTTCCCAGACCGTCGCCAATAGC